TCGACAATCCTAGTTCTCTTACTGAGAACCTACAGAGCCTTACACTGGGTCAGTCAAGAAGGGTAATGAAAACGTCATCTGTTATGGGTCGGTAATATGTTATCAAGGGATTAGCGCCAGATTTGCATAGGCGAGAAAGCTCACACGTCTTCTGACATAAGAATGAGCAGATATACGGATGTAAGAATGGGTTTGATCAGCTGAGTTCATTGAAATCACCTGCATGTCAAGTCTGCAAAATGTTTAGTTTTTGGCTTACTGTTGCTTTTTTGTGACAATGATTTTCTTATGGAGTCAGCTTTTGTTGGAGTGATTGATTTTGGTTTTTCCATTTGCATTGGCAGTTTTTTGATGATATGAATTACAAAAATTGTTCTATACTTTTTCTATTCCCATATAATCATTGCTTCCATGAAAAAATAAAACATGATTGAGAACACTAAGTGTTCTTCCATATTCTTTTCTTTTTTGGAATACAGATATTTCTGCAAGCACCATCTACCTACACTTACAGAACCGAGTTAAAGTGGATCTAATTCCTGGTATCGGTGATCCCTGCGTCCAACAGATGCCTCAACAGCCCATTCACCGAGCTTGCTTACCAAGAAGCTCCGTAAGCGGTGCAGCACTGTCTCTCGTAACGAATCCGTATGAATTCACTCTTGCCGATTTGGACTTCCTCGTCACTTCAGGTTTGATAATTTTCTTGGTTGAGGCTGGGTTAATACTGATCCTTGAGTTTCGGAACAGTTCTAGAACGCTCGAACTGTGCCCATTGCTGGGATTGTACTGGAACTTACGGTTCAGTATGAACCCAGCCTAAGTCTGGTGTGTCCCCAGTCCATCATATTCTCGATCTCTCAAGATCATCTTCCGCATATCTGCTGCAGTGACCATGATTACCGCGTCTAGCCGTAATAGGTAATTAGGATTGCGCAGTAGGCTATCGTTCTCGCGGCTCCTTACGCGTCCTTCAGCTCGATGACTGAGTTCGCCTATTCATTCAAAGGCCGAGTTATGCATGTTGACCTCATAAAAATAGAAGCGAATGAACATAAGGCAAAATCGCTGAAAGTTCGCTTCTTTTTGCGAAAGAGATGACCTAGAAAAAATTCAGTACTAACAAAGTAGCATGTGATTGAAGGTCAAAATGTGTCCGATTTGCGACGACTAAGTGCTGTGACATCGAGTTGCGAACTAATGAAAAACCTGCTCCGATGGCAACATGTTGCACCTACCTGTCCGGATACGGTAGACGGGTTTCCGTTCGACAAAAGGTGAGCTGTGAATATCAATCGGAGATTTAACCCACCTTAGTCTGAAACTTTTCTAAAAATTTCTATTTCTAAAGCATAAAACGTTTCCCACAGATAAAATTTTTTTTAGATCCTCTTTTCCTATCAAAACCACATCAATGGACCCCTCATTTTAATGATCGACATTTTGCACAATCCATGCTCTCAGTTGGGTACCTCGCGATCTGTCAAAAATAACTTTCTGTCCAACCATTATTAGATCTCCTTTTCAAAAATCTCGAGTCAAAACAATTTGTTGAAACTGAAGGATTTTGGTTGAAAAATCCTAGTAGACGTTTGAAGCTCCGTTATTCTAGAGATCCACTCATAATGGATAGTGAATTTCCACATGTAATGGTAACTGGAAACCAACCACTACCGGAATCTCAATGGTACGATGGACCAAATGGAGAGCGATGCCTTACCATCGCCGTACCACGCTTCTCAAAGACTCAGCTACTTGTTCTTCTGGATTTGGATACCAAGGAGGTTATGTATGAACATTTTGCCATGGAATGATCTCTACACAATCCGCTAAGGCAGAAGATCTTCAACCTCGCATCTCATCCTTGCCTTCTGGTATTGCATGTTCTCACCACTGGGTAAATAACAAGTCGTTGTACAACCAGAACAATGGCTGATGTTTGCCATCCGGCTTTATCGTGTCTTAAGTCCACTTGTCCCATATATGTGTTAATCTCTTTTCACTTACTGGCATGAATCTTCAAATAAATCTTGCTCATCATAAGTTTTATTATCAGAAGGACATAAGTGTAAGTGCATATCAAGTTATTATGGAATGCGAAGCATACTATTGAGATTGCTGTTTCGATGATGCTAGGAAGTTATCGTGGAGTTCTTGCAAATTGCTATACAATGTCTCAAGGCCATGAATATAATTGACATCATGTTTATCATTTGACGGAAAGACGTGGGAAAAATCTGAAATCAATGGTATAAATAATTCACCTCCCAGACAGGCACTACATTCAACTTGAAAGCGGTTCAAAATATTAGTAAAAGTAGCGCAGCTAAGTGACGGGCATTTGACATTTGGTGTCTCGTGAGGAAACCTAACACTGCCATATATAACGGCAACAAATATGAG